TTTCATAAAGCCATAAAAATGCTAGGCGTCACCGCTGAAAACAAAAAAGTTTTTCAGCTCGCGAGTCCGGTCAGAGACCCACTGTCTCAGAACATGTCTAAAATTGCTCCTGTGCCCATTGACCTTTGACCCTGTGACTCCAATTTCTGACACAGTGATGGCTTTTTCCTACATGATGCTATCAGCACCGACTATCACAAGCTAAGGTTCGCCGCGTTTAATTTGTGGCGCAATTCTGCATTCCTATCTACTATAACTGTAAGCTTAGGGAGTGAATGGTTGCCCACCCTTCTTTTACACCGTCCTTGTATAAAAGAAGAAACTTTGATATTTGACCGCCCAGCTTCGACATCACACAACGTAGTTTTGACGACCTCCCGCCCACTGTCCGACATATTCGTGACGCCGTACGTCGCAGCGGCTGTAAGATTGTGCCAAACTGTTACGGACGAACGGACGGACCGGACGGACGGACGGACGACGGACGATCATTAGCCGATCTACAAGGTTCCATCTGAAACTATGGTCAGATCGACTAAAAATCTTGATTGATGACATCGAACAGGCGGTAACCAAGGTAGGTTTTCAGCCATGCGCAAGGTCAGTACATAAGTGCTGCATACCACGCTGGAACGACGTCGTTGGATGTCTTCCTTTCACGAAACCAAACGCGCTCGAAAGGCTTTTCGGTAAAAGTGGACACCGTAATGCGTTCAGCTCCAGGCGATGTGAGGCGAGATCGAGATACACTTAATGTTTGCTCGAGGTGACGCAGACGCCAGCTGTCTAACTGAAACATGGTGCATGACCTTCTTAGTTGCCCGGAGTTTATTGCAGTTGGTGCCAAATGCCACTACCTCACCTGCAACCGAACGAACATACATGAGGGAATAGATGTACACGATATATTCACCTAGTGCAGTGTACCGTCATGTCTCAATTCAGAGTTTACATCGCTGCAATTCCCGCTGTGAGCTCATTGTATCTTTGTTTACGTCCTGCGGCAAATTACTATGTGAACGTACGTGCACACAGCAACACCAGAGAGACGATGAAACACCCAGCTTGCGTATGCGCACAGTAGTTAATTGAGTTATATATCATCAATTGAATGCTCGATCTCATACTTTCTTGATGTTTATTACAGCAATATCGGGCATTATATTTATGGCTAGCTCCTGTGTTAATGAAAAAATCAAGACTAACGGCTTCCATGATAATTTATGTCACAGACTTCAATTCAGAAAGTAAAAATCGGGATTACTTTGAATTAAATAGCTCTACAAAGAAGCAAAGTTATAAAATGCAGGAAGAATTTTGGTAATTATGGTGTCACATAGCTAGCGCTTACACATTCCGATTCAGAGAAACTGTAGAGACTATCATCGTATGTGCCAACAGTATTATATCAGTGGTATTACGAACAGTCAATATTAATAAGGTATTTCTATGCATCCTATATGTAACATAGCCTGCTCCACATCATAAAAATCAAGCCCAATTAGTTTGTAGAAAGGTTTCCTAAACACAGCACTGACACACACGCCTTATCGGAAGGGCTCAGTGTCCAATTAACGGGTCTTTCCACCAGTTTTGCCAGCTCAATAACCGTTTGTTAGCCGCGATGCTATAGACTCATGAACTATGAGACTGTCGCATACAACCACCACATCTTGTGGATGATGGAGCGATGCAGACACATACCACTGGCCTGTAAAAGAAAGCCATTAGCCATGTGGTTGCAAAATATGAAGCAAACTCTTGGAAGTTTTAGCCACAGACCAAGGTCTTCTTGTTAACTTTGACAAAAGCAGGTATTTCTGATCAATGAATAAGCAGGGTAACCTGTTTTTTCGCGAGCACGGACGCTATGGGAGCGGGGAAGGAGCAAAAGCCCTGCTAGGGTGGTCCGGGGGCCATGCACCCCGGAAAAAAATCTGATATGACCCACAAATAGCCTAATTTTATATGGGTTGGGTTCCTAGATTTGGGCTAGTTTAGATAGAAATAATAATGCTATAAGTATCTAAGTATAAAAAGAGAAAATCATAAATGTCAGTAAAAGTCCAGGTAACAGTGTAGTTTCCTCTTTATTTTACAGAGCTTTCTGCCAAGTTGAGAATTCAATTATACACTGCATTTTTTAATAATCTGAGTCCACATTATAATATAATTGGGACTGAAAAATATATTCTATTAATATACAGTTACTACACAGCTATTGAGTATTCATAGACAGGATTGAAAGATTGATTGAAAACAGTTTTATTTGTGGCATAAGACATGACATAAGATACAGGAAGTACATTCGTTAATAAAGAAATAATTTTAACATGTCAGAAAGTACAAGATTTTAATCAGTTTAAAGCCCAGCGGAGTGGCGAAAGGAACATATAAGTATGCTAGTCTGCCACCCCAAGAGTAGATTTAAACGTAAAGCAGTTGCTGAATAACATAATGGTGAAGAAGAAGAGTAACAGCAAGCAAGTTTATAAATCAAAGAGAAAAAGTGTAGGAAACAATTGATTAATGAACAAATATACAATGAATAGGAATGAGCAGGAACGATATACTGGTACAATTAGGATTATGCAAGATCATCAGTTAAAAACATCAAAACAACTCAATCATAAATTGATCAACTTAAATAACAACAAAACAATAGCAGGAACGAAGCAAGATTGGGCGTTAGGAACAAAAGAAAACAAAAGACCTTTTTCACATATATATTAATGCATATAGGCGAAATTATCACAGTAGACATGCATTATTATTAAATGCCATAATAAAGGGAAATCATATATGTACACGGAAGGTTGTCGTACAAAAATACGTAGTTAGTGGAAAAAAAACACGTTGACAAAGATAAATAACAGGCTAGACTCCGACAGGTGAAAGTCCAGGTAACACTATATGGTCCTCAGACTCCATGCTCGTTCGTCCGCGGTAAACTGAACGCGCGCGCTGTGCTGAAGTTCGTTTGAAAAAGCGGCACCTGATTGGATCTCCCGCTATACGACACCAAGCGCAATCAAATTGCTTGGATATGTAATCGAAACTTGGCCGCTTGTCTGTGGTTCCACCGCCACGAGAAGGCCCTTTGCGGGGGCAGAGTACAGACAAACCGCCGGCGAACCCCCCGTGCACCAGAGTTAGGTCTTGGTGGTAAGTATGTAAATAAAGCTCGTCGTGGGCGAATATGGATAAGGATATTTACCGCCGTTTAAGTGGGAGTTCTCTCAATTGAAGCCGGTAAAAATTGCGCGATAGCCGGTAAAAATAACCGGTTAGCAGGCTATTACAAGAACCGCTGCGAGAACCATAAGCAATATTGTGCAGCCAAGTTTGTTTGCTGCTTGTAATATTCAAAATGTCATCGCGGCGGTTAGAATTGATGAGTTCCCATCTATCTAGACAGTGCCGCGGCGAGCGACAGCGCCATCTCACGTCTAACTGCGGGACTCGTGGAGAGAGTGGTGGATTCTAGTAACCCTGTAGTCCCAATTAATGTGTGTGCACATGATGCGCGCCGAAACAGGGAAAGGCACAGGGCAGGCCGATGGCGTATCAGGAACTTCCGACCGGAATGTTCGTGTGGACGTATGAAAGTGTGCCACGAGATGGCGGCGTACGTTTATTGTCTAAGATTACAGATGGAAGCTTCCGCATGTACGGTATAGCAACCGAACTATTTGCCAAACAGAATATGTAGCACTCATCCATTTGACCTACCAAGCCTAAACAGGCTGAAATAGAGACTGCCACCTGTTGAACTAATTAAGCCAGGCAAAAACTACACAGGGCTGAATCCCACCAACATGCACTGGCAGTGGCTACTGGCAGTGGCATAAGTTAACATGTAACACACTGACAGTACAGAATGCCATAGAATGATATATTACGATATTAAGGAGCTATAAACCGTCTTCAAACCAAATTTTGAGGCTTTTTGAAATTTCAGCTGTGACTTGTAGCCTCATACGTCTGCAGGCAATCGTATAGGATTCTACGAGCAAACCCGGCAATAAATTCTTCTAACGAGTAACACATCTGATGTTTAACCCCGCCTGTCTTCAGGGTCAACAAGTCTGATCCGACACTTACTCTGTTCGCATAGTCAGCGGAAAGTCATTTAATGAGAGTCCTTTCAATAAATGCCATAAAATGGTAGCTCACCGCTGAAACAAAAAGTTTTCAATCGCTCCGTCAGACCATGTGCTCCAGAAAATGTCTAAAATCCTGGCCCTGTGCCGCCCATTAGACCTTTCGACCTGTGACCTGCCAATTTCCGTCACGTGATGCTTTTCCTACCATGATGCTAATACGAACCCCGACTATCACACGTAGCCTAAGGCTCGAGCCGTTTAGATTTGTGGCCCATATTTTCTGCATTTGTCCCTCTCTATACCTTAAGTTAGAGGAGTAAACCCTCTTTACACGCTCTTGAACTTGGACGCCCAGCTTCGACATCCGAAACTCTCGTTATTCGGATTACCCTCCACAGTCCCGGACTATCGTAGACCCAGTTACGTCGAGCGCAGCGCTTAAGCATTGTGCCGAACTGTTGCCAGCGCCGCAGATCGGAGCGCGCGCCGGGACGGCCAGAAGCACGCTGCCATGCGGATTGCTACAACGCTACATCACTATTCAGATGAGGCTAATAATCAATCCG